AGCTGGCAGGTAGATGAGAATGCGTCCACAGAACATCCTTTTCAACCTATCTGAGATTTGGAGCTGTAGTTGAGATATTATTTGAGCTGTTAAGATGTTAATCAGCTGCTGTTTGTTTTAGAAAACTGCCTTGTTGTCATGGTTATGCATCATAACAAATGTCCAAAAAAAAAAAAAAAAAACTGGGGCGGCTGTGGCTGAGTGGTTAGAGCATTCGTCCTCCAATGCGAGAGTTGGGGGCTCGAATCCACCAGCAGTCACATGCTGAAGTGTCCCTGGTCAAGACACTGAACCCCTCATAGCCTCTGATGTGTGTCCCATCAGTGTATGAATGTGATCTAAAAAGCACTGATTAGTCTCTTTAGAACAATTTGTTCAATCATCTTTGTAGAGATCTAGTAGAGTGCTGTATGAATGGATAAATGAGGAACAGATTGTAGAGTAAAGAGCTTTGAGTATCTTGAAATAAGATAGAAAGGCGCTATATAAGTACAGTCCATTTACCATTTACCATTTAAAATATCTGATCAAAATTAATCCTTTATTTTGACTAATTTATGTCTGATCATACTTTAACCAGCAAGTGAATTAAGACATTTTCTTTTTGCCTATGTCTGAGTACTTTTCTTTTCAAATTATTGTCCAGATTTGTGTTAAGAACAGTAAAAATACTATATTGTTAGACAGTATTCACATTTTTAATATTTAATAGCTTTAGAAGATTTTTTTTTTCTCCAAAATACCTACTCTTTATGCAGCTGTCCCCACCAAGTCATGTGACAAAAAAATATTTCCTTTTTTGGAGTTAATGTTTAAATTGAAGATTATATTTTGGCTGGAGTTTCACTGATGCTGTGAAACTAATTTTGCCTTTAGTGATCAGTCAGAAGGGTGCTTTATTATCTAGACATGCAGTTATACATCCATCCATCTATCTATTATCTTTACCCGCTTGTTCCATTTTGGGTCACGGGGGTCGCCGGTGCCCATGTCCAGCAATCACTGTGCGAGGGGCGGGGTACACCCTGGACAGGTCGCAAGTCCATCACAGGGACACATAGAGACAAACGAGACAAACAACCATTCACTCTCTCACTCACACCTAGGGACAATTTAGAGTTGCCAATCAGCCTAACATGCATGTTTTTGGTCTGTGGGAGGAAAACGGAGCACCCGGAGGAAACCCACGCATGCACGGAGAGAACATGCAAACTCCACCCAGAAAGGCCCCTGGACTGGGGTTTGAACCAAGGACCTGCTCGCTGAGAGGCAGCAGCTCTATCAGTTGTGCCACTGTGCTACCCGCAGTTATACATTATAAAGAGAAATGACACAAAGTCATACAGATATATGTAAAATGTTGCATCTATATGTGTCTAACAAATATGGTAATATTCCTTGCCCTTATTTTATTTTTGCTTCTTTTTGTTGTGGTGGGCTGCAGGGCTCCATTCTTGGGCCTCTCCTTACTCTCTTTATATGCTACCACTTGTATCAGTTGTAGCCAGATACCACTTTTTTCCCACTGTTATGTAGTTTCAAGCTTTATTTAAACAGGTTAGTCCCATTGAGCCATGAGGACTCATTTACAAGAGAGGCCTTCATTTTAACAAAGAGTGATGACAACAGTGGATAACAACAGTCACAAAGGATGCATACAAATTAGTTTTTTTGTTTGTTTGTTTTGTCCTTTTTACAAACAAAAATAAAATGGTAATTAAAAGGATAATTAAAAGGAAACGTAGTGAAAAAACAATTATATTACGAGGCGGTGTAGAATACTAAAAACAGGAACATGTCTGCATTGGTTCTTGCCAGGATCTTAACAGGTGCAATGAGTTACAGATTTATTTGCCAATAAAAACCTAGAAGTAGGAACCTTCAAACTTCTTTTCTTGGTTGTATTGCCAACATTAAACAGTGGCTTTACCAAAACTTCCTGTTTTAAGTTAAGTAAAAATGACGGAATATATATTTATTGGTGATGATGCTCCTTGTAGTTTTGGTGCTCTGACATCAGAGTTCAGTTCAGACCTACAGTTAAAAACTTGGGAGTGTTTTTAACTTCTAAAACAAGCAGTATATGTTAATTATGAGCTACA